TAAAACAGTATTGATGGAGGAGACAATTCTCTGTACGCAGGCATATAGTGAGAGATGAAAATGCCAAGGTCCATGTACTATGGCAGGTGATTAATAAGATATCCAATATGATACTCTAATATGCACTGGAGAACCTTGGAGGATACCTGAGTGGCTATGTCTGAGGTGGGAAGGGATAACAAGAAGAAATTTGTTTATTTGGGTGGGATTAAATCTAGTGCCTTACATGTTCTGGGCAAACATTCTACCACCGAGCTATACCTCCAGACTATAGTTTTTTACATCTTTTGAAAAATTTCCCATGCTGTTTCATCTTCAGAAAAAATACATTCATATGGATCTACAAGCTCAACACAAACCCTGTCAAAATAACAGCTTCCATTTTGCACAAATTGATTTTAAAATTCAGATGTAAGTGTAAGGGACATATGATATCAAAATAACATTGAAAAAGAGCAAAGTTGAAGGAGTCACACTTTTTATTTATAAGTAAATTTATTTTAAAAAGGCAAAACCAAAGCCAAATGTCAAATTTCTCATTTCACTTAAAAAAAAAAAAAATGAGTGGTATTCGGTGCTTCTCCTGGGGGCTGGGGCCTTCCACTTTGCTATAGCTCACTATGGCCACCATCTTTAGACTAATGGTGAAGGAATAGAAATCAGTACCCAAACTATTTTATTTCTTTTACAGGAATTTATGAACCAGGCAAATAGTTCCGCACTTCTGTGCCCCAGTTTCCTCTCCCATAAATAGAAATTACTGTAGTATTTATTTCATACGTTTGTTGTAGAACTCATGTGAGAGAATTCACGCCATGTACTCAGAACTATCTCTGGCATTAAGTAACCATCTAATAAATATAGGCTGTATGATTATCTGTTCATTGTATTTCTACATACTTTTTAAAAAATTAGTCTTACTTGCTGTGGAATAATCCTTCTGTACACCGTGAAGAAGTGTTGCTCTCATTGTTAATAAAAAGCTGACTGGCCAATGGCTAGGCAGGATTTTGGGGGCAGAGAGAATCTTGGGAAGAAGAAGGGCGGAGTCAGGAGGAGACACCATAAGACACAGAGTGAGCAGGTTGGGAAGTACATACATGAGGCAAACGACCTTAGGGCAGCACATAGATTAATAGAAGTGGATTAACTTAAGCTATCAGAGCTAGTTAAAATCAAGCTTAAGCTATCAACCAAGCATTTATAATTAATATTAAGTCTTTGTGTGGTTATTTGGGAGCAGTTGCTGGGACACAAAAAAATTTCAAGTACACTTACTAATAGTTTGCTTTTAAAATTCTAGGTTTTGCTTTTTTGTTTTCTTAATTTTAATTAATAGTTTTTACATGTCTTATCTCCTGTCTGTTTCTCTTGTTGCTCTATAACTAGATTCTCCTATTGAATGCTTAGATAACTCATCATAGACCTTTCTTCCTTTCTGATAAATGCACCTATTAGAAAGTTATGACTTACTGCCATTACTGCTTTAGCTAACAGTCAACAATTGTATGTGTGTGGCTTGTTATTTTATTGTCTTTCAGTTCAGTTTCTAATATAATTTTTCTTTAACCTATAAGTTAGTGAGTTTTGCTCTCTTTTTAGAAAGTGAATTGTCTTCTCTCTGTTTTGAAAGATTTTTTCTTTTTATTGTTTGTGTGCATATGCCTGAGTGTATATGTGTTTATGTGCCTGTGTATGCACGTGTGTGTGTGTGTGTGTGTGTGTGTGTGTGTGTGTGTGTGTGAGTGAATGCATGTCACATGTGCGTTTGTGCCTGAGGAGTCCAGAAAAGGATGTCAGATCCCTTGGAACTGGAGTTACAAGTGGTTGTGAGCTACTTGACTGAGTGTGGGTCCTCTGCAAGAGCAGTAGGTACTCTGAACTGCTGAGCAATCTCTCTAGCCTGCCCCATCTTTTATAGGAAGTGTGGAGGGAGTTAGAGAGAAAGGAGGAAAGAGACACAGAGAGAGATGAGTTGTTTCCTCTTTTCTAAACTGCTCAAATCAGACTTCTTGTTTCTAAGCAAGGAAAAGGGACACTTCTTAAGAAGTGGAGAGCATTTGCTACCTTCTGCTATGCTGCAAGCTTGACTTATTTAGATCTATTCCAGCCAGAGTATCAGTATCAAGAAGGTAGGGACTTTGCTGACTGCTCTGTTCACTGTCTTCATCTTGGCACCCACAGCAAACACGCAAGAGAGGAAACAATACATGCAAAACCCATTATTTAAGTAGACATCAGCAAAGCAAAGCCTGAATAAAGCTCAATGATTCCTCCAGGAGTAAAAGAAAGTACTAGAATATCACCGGGTGATTGCTATTACCCCATTATTACTCTCTGGCAGCAGTGGTTGAGAGCAGGTTGTGCTTTAGGTGGCAAATATTAATGATCATGTTTAGGAATGGCAGCAGAAGTGACATGCAGGTATTCAAGAAGAAATTTCTTGTTCATTAATTTTTTTTAAAAAGTTTGTGCTCTTTATTTTCTATTTAAACAATCCCTTTGGCATGTATCAGTTCCTCTTCAGTGTTGGCTGAAACTCTATTGTTTTTTGGACTCATTAGTAATATCAAATGCAGAGCCACTGAAGAATGGGATTGGTTATACATCAGCTCTAAGGTTAAGGGAACAAAGTGGAACTGCTCGACAGATGCAGCCACTCTAGGAAGCCAGATTCAGGCTCTTAACATCTGAACTCTCTTGCCTGTTTGCCAGCTAGGAAGGTCTGCACTGTCTTTGCAGTCAGTGTCTTGAGAGGCAAAACAATGCCTCATAACACAAGGTGGTACCTGCAGCTCTTCCTCAGCCACCCAGGGTTTCAGATAAACATATTCTCAGTAAGCATATTCCCCCAGCAGCTTTACATAAATCATTGTAGTAGTCTGTATTGATTACTCAATGCTTAACTTCAGGATTTGTTTAAGAGCAGGGGAGCTGATGTCTGGCTTGTTGAGTACAACAAAGGGCCCATAGTCTTTCTTGTAATATGTGCAGCAGAGGGTGTAGGGCCTCCTGCTGGCAAATGATTTTATGACTTAAATTCTTAATTTCTAGGATTGCCTCTTAAGTTCATTCCTACTTTGTGGTCTATTTTGCAACAACTTCAGAAAAGATGGTTCTACAGTTTCCAATGTAGATGCACGACATGTAGATACCATTTTCACAGTAGTGTTTCTTGAAGCCGTTGTTTACTGTGCAGAATGGTCTTCTGTACTGAGATGCCGACTTGCTTCTCTGAACTGAATTTTCCATGGAATTTGTCCAGCGCTTCTCCGATTCTCAGGCGCTTTATCTGACAGTCTTTCTTCCTGCAGATAATGGCTGGCAGCAACCCACAGAGCAGAGGTTATATGCTGTATTTTTGAAAAAGTCTTGAATGGAGCCATTGTACCCCTGAGATGGTCTGCATGTTTGACTGAACAGAGAGTGGGGTGTAAAAAAGGCACCTTGTATGCAACTGTTGGCAAGGTTGTGGAGTGAATTAACATCTCCAGAAAGTCTGGGCAGTGCTGTTCAGAGGGAGCAATGAACCCTCTGGAAGTACTGTTAGCTCAGACATTCCAATGCGGTGAGGCAGCCTCAGGGACTAGGCTCTCTCCAGTGGCATTTACAGAGGGGGTGAGCGGGAACATTGATCCGGATACTCTCTTTGCAAAGATTTGGGAAGGGCACCCTTTCTAGGGGCATGGCCTGTGGATCATCACACTTGGGTGACCAGCTTGCTGCTTATGGGGTCAGCATTTGTCTTGGTTCTCCATGGTGCAATGACTCAGTTGGAGGACTTGATGCCGACTGCCTCTATTGCCACCACCTTGAAGCAACCACAGCACATTCAAAGGAAAGAACAACCAACCAGAAGTCTCTGGGTACCAGGTCATGATGATATCCGGATCACTAGATTTATAAAAAATCACAGTGTGATGCTTTATGTCTGCTTCTTTTATTAGTGAAGGTATTTCTTGCTACCCTCGTCCACTTACCTGTCCAAGTCTGGGGTTGGGGCAAATGGCCATTTATTTCTCATTGGTCTAAACTGAAATCCTAAGTGCTTAATGAACAAAGAATTTCCCCTAGAGCCTTCTGCTAAGGCTTTCTGAACCAGCTGTAGTGGGAAGCAATAACATTAGTCTTCATTAAAATCTTAGTGGTAAGAAAACAGCAAAACAGTGTAAGGATAGGGCTGGCAGATTTTTCTTATGGGCAGGATTCTTTGGCTGTCTTGTGCATTCTTGTTCCAGCCTCTCCTGTGCTCTAGAGGCTCCAAGGAGGGGAGATCTTTTTAAAGAGGGGCCCAAGCTGAGCAAGAGCAGAGCCTGTGGGAGGCAACCACAATCCAGATACAGAGGTCAGGGAAGTTATAGGTGGAGTTGGGGGAGGCTGGGGGCTGGACACATCCTATAGTGTGGTTCACAGTGGCTAGGGCATGTTGGCCTCCTCCCGTGATGGGGAGTTGGTATGGAGGGGGATATAGAGATTTTGACGGTTTCTGCATTAATTAAAATCATGGAGGAGAACAACTGTGGCTGTGGTGTGCAGGGTTACTTTGGTCCAAGGGAAAGACAGATGTAAGATGTATGCCCAAAGGATCAGTTCTGATTGAATGTGTGAGGAGGTGTGAGGCCTGGGGTCTCTGTAAAATGGGTCATAAAGCAGAAGGCACAGGTTTAATCAAACAGGAGGAGTTTTGGTTTTTCTCCAGGTCTCTGGCTCCAAACCGTAGACGACGTAAAACTTTGGCCAGTAGCGGAGGATGCTCTATGCAGAGCTGGCAGTGTCTGGCAACTGTGAAAACCCTCCAGATTTGCTTCGAAAAACCAAACAGACAGAAGTGTCTTTTAGAGGTCACAGGAATGGGGGTCACACACAGCAAGAGGGCTGCCCTGAACACGACGTTGGTATGGTGTTCTACAAGTGCTTGTGAAATGAGTGACAGGGCCATCAGTCTCGCTGCTGACACCTACCAGAGTAACTTTGGTCAAGTCACTTAGTAACCTCAGGCCTCAGTTTCCGAGTCTGTCACTCATAGGTGGTCTGCAGGATGGGAGACAGTGCCAGAGGACCTCTAGCCCCCTGAGGTGTGCAGAGTTCCCTCTCTCCCGGGAGCAGGGTGACCCGGCGCAGCTGTAGCCGCCTCCCTCTTGGGTCTGAGCCAGAGAGCGACTCCTGGGCGCCTTGGCCAGGGGGCCAGGCGAGGGTCGCTTGGACTGCCAGGGCGGGATGGCAGGGTGGTGGGGGCGGGTCCAGTGCGGCAGAGTCGGGGGCGGGTCAGGCACTAGCCGCTCCCCTGGTCGCCCAGCGGCCCACGGCGGCGCTCGCGGCCTCTCACCCCGCGGGCGAGTTCTGGGAAAGCCCGGCCCAGGGCGGGGGCCCGCGCCGCCCCGCTCTGCTCGGCTCTGGGCAGCGCGCACTGCTGGGGCGAGGGACGCGCGGGCTGCGCCCGAGTGCGGGCGGCGGGAGGGGGCGGCGGGAGGCGGGGGACAGCGGGCTCGAGCGGTGATCAGCGGCGGCGCGCCCCGCCGGGCTCCGGGACACTTGCCCGGCTCCTGCGCGCTCCTGGGCATCCGCTGTGCGACTGACACTCGGAAACCAGGACTGTCTCCACGCCTCCTGCGACGCGCGCGCGGACCGGGTCCCCGAGGGACGCGGCACTTTGGGCCCGCCGCACGACTAGCCGGAGATCTAAGGTGAGCCCGCGGCTCTGCCGCTGGGTCCCCAAGGACCGCGAACCCGACAGCTGGCCTGGGTGCCCTCGGGGCTGGAGTCGCGCCCAGCAGCAGCCAGACTTCTAGTACCTGGTGGCCCGGCGGCTCCCGCCTTCCAGGGTACAGCCCAGGCAACCATCCCTCCGGGAATGCGAGGCTGGAAGTCACCCGGTGACCCCTGCCTGGGCTCACCATTTCATGCTGTGTGGAAGTGGCCAGCACAAAGAAAAGTAGGAGTCCTTTTCTTGGCGGGACTCAGCAACGTTATTTCAAGGAAAGGACATTATTTCCGGGGAGATTTAGCTGCAGAATCCTAGGAAATACAGTACAGCACCCGTCTCACTCTAACTGGTGACTTCGAGAGTGGCTATCTATGCCTTTTCTTCTAAATAATCCAGATACACACAATTGTTTGGCGATGGCTTGTGTTAAGTGGATAGTGTAATTACTCTCCCTGTTTACATTTAAGGCAAGGCATACTTGATGACTGAATCAATTAGTGTAAGAAATGCTCATCATTAAATGATCTCAGTGTTATTTAAAAAATAAGCTCTCTGAATATAACTAGAGTTGAATATAACTAGAGTTGACTTTGCTAAAAAAAAAAAAACAAAAAACCTTTTTTTTTTTTTTTGTACATAGTCCATAATTCCATCAGCATTGGTGGATTTTCTTGACTTTCTCGTAGAAACCCCTGACTGGGCAGGGTGAAGGCAAGGCCACAGAATAAGACAGCTAAAACCAGGACCATTGGAATCCCAGAGGAGCAGTTGAGCGCCATTCTGGGGAGTGGTGGCAGGTGGTTCCATAGATACCAGTACGGGTCCCTAGCTGTCAGTGCAGGAAGAACCAACTAGCCCCTCAGTTACTATACACAACCATGGCTTTTCTGACGGATGCCTGACACTATACTCTAGGGCAGCGGTTCTCAACCTTTGGATCACAACCCTTTGGGGCCGACCGACCATTTCACAGGGCTTATCTAAAACCATTGGAAAACACAGATCTTTACATTACGATTCATAACAGTGACAAACTTATAGTTATGAAATATTGTGAAGTAGCAACAAAAATAATTTTTGTGGTCGGAGGTCACCACTGTATTAAAGATGACAGCGTTAAGGAAGTTGGAGAAGCAGCACTTACTCATTTCTTTTCCTCATCTGTTTCCTGGTCTCCCCAGTGGCCTTCCCAAATACTACACAGCCTTCACTCGCAAGCAAGTTTGTTGCCCCAACCCGAAACAGCCAGCGTCTTCTTTAATTCTAGTAGCCTCTTACCTCAGTGGACCTGTGAGATTTATGTAGATGTCTCTTTTCCCCTCCCTCCCCCCAGGTATCTGCTGTGACTTTCTTGGTCTGACACTCATACCTGGAAGGCTCTCCAAAAATAATTACGGGCAGGTATTATGTTAAGACCTTGGATTTGTAAAAAGTAAAGCTCTATTTCAGAGGAGTTAGTGTAACCTAAAGGATTGAGAGAAACATGTACTGCATATCCATCACTTACAGCCCCCACCCCCACCCCAGGGGCAATTTGCTGTGTGCTCAGGAGTGCCTCCTGGTCATGTTTGTCTCCAGACCAGGTAAGAGGTGAGATGAAGTGGGAAGGGCTTTCTTCCCCAGTCCTTCTAGTAAGACAAGCTCCTTGACACATTCCAGCTCTGGATGGGGGTGAAGCGATGGTCCAGTGAAGGTTGTTGGTTTTCTTTTTCTATTCACAATAGTTCTCGGCTATATGTTTCTTCGGATTTTCATCTTAGATTTGATGGCATCTGCTTGCTGTGTGTAGTTTGCTACAAATTTCTGAATGAATAAAGGAAAGTTGAAAAGGTGAGGAATTTTGTAAACAGAGGGGACATTTTCATAGAGCACGGCTATTCTGTAGGTATGTGTGTGTTGGCAGTTCCTGCCTTCCACAAAGCAGCCTCCACAGGACAACTGCTTCAGTCCAGACTCCTGCATTTTTCCTTGGGAGCTATTTGACAAGTGATGGGAGGTGTGGATGGGACTTAGAAAAGCATGTAACCTTGTGAACCTTGGGTGGGAAGACAAGAGTTGTGGATTGATGGGATGGGGAATGGAAAAAACGAGGAAGGAGATATCAAAGTGTGCCAGCTGTGAGGCCTGGCAAGGAAATGAAGAGTCTCCCCCATCCCCTCTGCTTCCTGGATGCAGAATTCAGGCTTGCTAATTCAATGTTAATTCAGTTGAGTTATGGCTTGAGTAGGTTTCCATGGGCCACATTGGGAACATAGCTCTTTATGGCTGTATTGTCAATATGGTAGCCACTAGCCACATGTGATTAAGTTTAAATGAGTTTAAATAAATGAAATTAACCACATCTAAATGCTTGGATGCTACATGTGGCTATATAAACAGGTTATAAATACAGGACATTGGCATTATCTCAGAAAGTCCTGCCCTAGAGAATTGTTTCCACATAGTTAATCTGCAAAGGGAACTGGTTTGCAAGCTGTATCTTTAAAGTTTCCTGTTTAAGGTCCCCCGCCCCTTTTACAGCATTGGGAAGAAGTGCCAGAGAGCTGAACCCTTACCTGTGGCCCTCTGTGGATTTATAGGATTGGCAACAAAACTTGGTCCAGCCTGATGTGACTTTGTAATAGTCCCTTCTTTTCTTAGCTGGTAACAACTATTCATCTATCTTTACTTCAGAAATAATTGTTAGAATTTAAGAAAAGCTGCGCTGCACATGAGAGAAAGATGCCATGTGACAGGGTTCAAGCAGAGGGATTTTTTTTTTAATTAGAGAAAGGGTTCATACAAAGTGGAAAAGGGAGGGGGAGACCAAGTTCGGGAGGAGCAGTGGGAGAGAGGAAAGAGAGAGAGAGGGAAGGGCAGGGGGGGGCTTTAAAAAGAGAACATAATGAATGTGCACAGGTGTTGCTCTTATTGGCTGCAGTTGAGGGTATATCCTGTCAGAACCCCAAGGGCAGGCCAGTACAGATGCCTGAGTACTAACAATAATGGACAGAGGTGTTATGTAATATTGGGCATATGTATCTTTTTTTGTGGGAACAGTGAAAATGGCTTCGACATAACATGAATGGTTTCTCAGTTTCTGCCGATGAATGTATACATCGATTATTAAGTCCATTTTGAAGATGAGAAAGCAGAGGTAGAGGAAGATTAATGTGCAGTAAGTCACAGGTGAGACTAATCAAAGCAGACGGGCTCTAGAATCCATCCTCTTGACCACTGTGCCATCCTGCATCTGACTTAGAGCTCATTCACGATCCATACAAGTGATCTGGTGAAACTTAACAGCTTTAATTCAGCTCATTGGAAAGGGTCAGATAAGGCTAGGACTAAATTGTTCAGTGGTTGATGTTTGAAAGCTTTGACTACCCAAGCCAGCTTACCAGGCATGCGGAGCAATTGTGCAGCTTGCCCCTTCCCTCCCTCTGCCAGTCATACTTGGATTTTAGCCATTGGCTGTATGAGAACTGGAAAGAAAAGAGGTCATTTGGGGATATTTAGGTATGGTAGAGGCAAAACTAGACTATGTTGAAACCTGTGGCACATGGGGGCTTGTATTCCTGCAGTGGTGGAGGGAATGGCTTAGGCCTAGTGTAAAGCAAGCTCAGTGACAAAAGCAAGCTTTTGCTGGACCACAAAGGTTCCCAGGCTTTTCAGCCTGTTTTATATGTTCTGGATCCACCTGACTCAGTAGGAAGTCTCTCCAGGAAGTCATACAAATTCTTTCTTTAAGGTCAGATGGAGTGTTTTAACTAGAGACAGAAACAGCCTTATTTCTCCTTACCCTCATGAAACCTCAGGTCTAGGTGGTTTCTTCTTGGCTTGTTGGCAATCCCAAAGTGTCTCTTTTGCATATGAGGGCATGTTCTGAGTACACCGCCATCTGTGTGTTCCTTTTACCAAAGACTCGCAGGACCCTCTCATTAGCCAGGGAACATGAGTACCTCTTGTCTTGAAGTCTTCTCCTATCAGGTACCATGGCTTAAAGGATACAGTCAGACACCTTTTTGGTGTCTGACCCTGGACAAACAATTGTTTTGTAAGGTAATTAAAAATAATGTCTCCAGTTAGATGATTCACTCAAAGCAAGTTGCATAGGACCTTACATAACATATGCTAACTACTCAACAAGTTAGCTAGTAGCATTATCGTTTCTTTGCTGTGGAAGTCTGTAGTTTGAGGTTTCGGAGGTATGTGTGGGAGGTCAAGGATAGTCAGGGTGAGTCCTGGGAATCTGTGGATATACCACTTTATATGACCAAATGGAGTCTGCAGATGTGTTTAAAGTAAGACATTATCCTGGATCTCTGTGTAGGTTCAATCTGATTACACAGCCCCTATCAGATGAAGGATGAGAATTTGTAGAGAGAGGTATTTTGCATTTTGTAAAAAGAGATAAAGGGCACAAGCAGATGGCTGGTAAAACACCAGCCCAGCATATTTGAGGCTCTGGGTTTGATCTACAGCCTGAAGGGTGGAAAAAGGGTGAAAAAAAAAATAAAAAGAATTCTTTCCTAGAGCCTGCTGAAGGAAACAAGCTTGCAACCCACCAGACTTCAGACCTCCAGCGCTGTACAGTAACAAATTTGTATTATTTAATTCAGTCAACTGTAGTCATTTGCATGTAGTCATTTGTCACAGCAGCTTAGGAATCAGAATGCAACATGGAAGAGAAAACGGAGAGAGGTTCAGGGTGAAGTTAAATCTTCCCAACCAGAGAGCAATAAGCCAGCCTTCACTGAGAACTTCGCCCAAGACACTGCCGCTGAGTACTTCGTGTGTGTTAAAATGCCTAACCCGCAGCCCTAGGAAGGTATCCACATGATGCAGGAGCAGACTGAAGTCTGAAGCTCTAAGAGGTTAAGGCCTGCCCAGGCTCCCGCTGCTAGTACAGGTACAGCTGTGTAATGGGTCCAAGCACTCTTCACTGGGAACCCCACTGCCCTCAAAGCAGGCACCTCTGAAGATCCTGAAGCCTTCACCTGTGAATGGCATGCCTCTGTGTGTAAGGGAAAGGCAATGTTTGATTTGGGGAGAAGGGCCATGTAGCTGTTTTTCTTTTCCCTTCAGATACTGATTATTGAAGTTCTGGTAAGTTCTTGTCATTCTTATGTCACAGTACTCTGACAGCCGAAGCCTGAGGAACGGGCTGGGTGAGCAGAGCCTGCACGCACCCCTATTCCCACCTCTGTTCCT